ATGGTACCATTGGTTTTGAACCATGGCCATCTCGAGTTGCCAACCCGCGCAATCGATTTGGGCCCCCGACACCACATCTATCTGAGGACCATGAGCTGTAAAGCCCAAGCCATCCTGAAATTGGTGCGTCTCTGGAATGGAAAAGAGCCCTCTGCTGGTGGCTTTGAAGGCAAACGTAAAAGGAACCCTTTTTGGGGTGTGACTGAAGGCCTGCCAATGGCATTTAAAGTCGTTTCAAAAAACCGCAGGCAGTCGTGAGGGGCGCCAGTTCATAGAAAGTGGCCGAAGTGTGAAGCGTCATCTCCCCTGCGAGAGCACTCAACTCTGTAGTCTGTTGGGGTTGTCTCCAAGTGGCGTCCAAAACTCTAGGCTGGTTTTCTTTCGATGTCCCCTTGAAACTGAGGTCTTTTTGATTTCCCGCCACAGTCAGAACCACCACGGCGGCACTGAACAGGCCGGGCCGGCCCGCAGCATGGCATAGATCCAGGTGGCCACCCAGCAGTCTGGGCCGTGCCTATGAGGCGACTCAGAGTCACCGGCCGAAGGCGAGGCCAACGGTCTGGCCTCATGATTTTTAACAAAGTCACCCCCGTTCAGTGGTTGGTTAAAGGGAAACAACCCCATTTTCTGACTTTGATAACTCCATATAACTCCCAGAAACCGTCAAAATAATGACCCCAGCAACGTTGCTCCAAAGCATGTCGAATTGTCAACTGCGCCATGGTCAAAACTTCAAAACTATGGGCCACGGTCATGCTTCCCTGGTCTCATCTCCCGAATCCACCTCCAGCCCTAAGCACAAGTGAATAAGGTCTTTTGACCGCGGCTGTAGGCATACTGCTTGCCTGTTGGTGAAGCATTCAGCAAGTGAGGAAGGATTGCCATCGTCGGGCACCCCCCATACCAATAAGTTGAATGGTGTGTTTGCCTGACGAGAGTGGTAAGAATATCAGTGGGTTAAATTTGCGTGCTCTTCCTTGATGAATTGATTTCTTCTTTCCTTCCTTCCTTCCTTTGTTCCTTCCAGGGTCGCTTCCCTTGCCCGGGATAGACCCAAAGGGGCGACCCCCCTCACAGCCATGCTGTTGCTTCAAGCACCCGATTCCGCTCTCCCGTCCTCATGGCAGGATCGCTAAACAGCTCTACCTGCCATAAGGCTAGCCGGGAAGTGGCTATGACTGGGGAGGGGGGGCGGGATGACTGGCATTGCCTAAGGCTACCGGAAGATGTGTAAACACCGGTCACCTGCAACTGAAGCTCAAGCTCTCTTTGTCCAACCAAGAGAAGGGCAATTTAAGGTGTCTCAGCACAAGGCCCGGGCAGTTTGAGGAGGTACACAGCCAGAAACTCATACGCAAGGCATCCATTGCTCCTGCTCAACCTGCTGCTGAACATATTTTCCGACGATGAACAAGCAAGCGATCGGTGTGCCGCACAAGCAAGAGGACGTGGCACTTACCTTCACTAACCAAGAATGAAGACACCTCCTACATGGCTTGCCGACATCTAGGCAAAGCCCTCAGCCAGCTTGAAAACACACAACGATTTATCGCGACACGTCATGGTTTGCACGGGCATCAAGCGCCATGGATGGCATGCTTCTCGAATCAAGTCTGGGCTGATGCCAGACTTCTGGTGCAAAGGGACTGCCTTTGGCGACTCGTTTTGTCAAGGAGCGCATCTTGCTGCTTGGCCGAGGTAAGCAGCATACAGAGTTCCTTGTAGTCATGTCCTTGTTAAGCGTCGCTCAGAGAAAGGAACCTCGTGTTCAAATTGGCCTTCCGAAACGGTGACGTTTGAATCAACAAAAATGAATTGTGATGTATTCTTTTCCAAGGGACAGCGCTGTTGGAAGGGAAACCCACGCGAAACCACCTAATTTGAAGGTTCCCCGTTTTGACGCACAAGGACCTCACCAGCTCACGGCGGCTCACCTGCGTCTCCACCGGCAAAGAGCAAAGCCGGGGCAGCTGGATCTTCAGCGCTTGTAACAGCGGCACGCCCTCGGGCGAAACCGTCGCGCTGTTATGGGCCAAGTCCCAACATTTTTGCCACATGGTCGTCTCCAACGGATATATTTGTCCAGGAACTGAGGAAGTGAGTGGTCTACCAGGACTCGGGGCTTGCTGGGGGTGTGCAAAATGAGACCACCAATCTTAAGGCGTAATCTTGCACACCACTAGAACAATGAAGAAGGCAAAACCATCTACCAAATGGATTGAGGATTCATTTTGAACAACCCAGCCGAGACCACCTTTATGGCCAATAAAGTGTCCTTATTTGAGGCTCGGCGCCTTGCTTGAGGTTCTTTGATAGGGAAACTGCTCATTTGGGGCTTCCCAGTTTGTTGGTTTGGGGACAAGCCAAAGTGCCAAAGCGCCTGGCCCTAATCAGTCTACCTTGGGGTGGTCAACGCTTCGGTGCGATGCCAACAAGCAACAAGCGGGCCTGCTGCATGAGAGGAAGTACCTGCAAGCAATCGTGAACCTAGCGCTTGACACAACTCCAGTGGTGACTGCTCCAGGCATCCTTCTTAGTCCAAACCGAAAAATGAAGGAAAAGGGCTGGTGATTGAAAGGAACGATGATTGAACAAACTCCCTCCAAACCGAAAAATGAAGGAAAACGGCTAGTGATTGAAAGGAACGATGGTTGAGCAGATTGGGAACTCAATCCCGACACTCCGATCGCCTCCCATTGCTGAAAGCGATGCTGCGCACCAAAAAGTACGAAGTTGCTCCTGCTATCATCAAGCTCACATGGCCATGGGTCAAAACCCCGGTTAGCCCCCAGTGAACATCCCAATCCAACCACTAAAATAGGTTCTAAAATGAGTGGTGAATTCACCTACCCCCAAAATGGGATCCCATTGGTGTTGACCCACGGCCACATTTATCTCTTCTGTTGCAGTAGCCAGCTTCAAATGAAAGTGCAGTGGAATGACACCATCGAGATGCCCGTCCAAACCTTTGTGGCCATGTCGGCAGAACACAAAGTCAACGGATTCTAGGCCTGGTCATAACCTCCTACAAGAAGCTAGGCCCTCAACTTGCCGGGCTGTCAAGCGAAACCGGACGCTAAGCTTCTGTGACAAAATACCAAGATTGGTTTGATCTTGTTTTGGACTCTTCCAAAAAATCGAGCCATCTTGTTTTGCTGTGCTTTGCCGTCTGCACTTTCAAGCAAATCGCACCTTTAAGTACAGGTGTGTAGTACGCTACGAACACATTCACAACGCCAGCTCAAAAACAGAGTTGTGCGAAGTGCTCTCCATCTCATTCTGCATAGTTGCTTGCAGCATTACTTCGTTCTGTTGTCGTTCATTGTGGGGGTACCATGGCGTTTCGAGCTTGTATGCCATGTGTTTCGAACCTGCTGCAAATGTGAAAGAAGTACGCATACACCCATTGCTGCTTTTAGGCAAGGAATGAGGCAGTTAGTGACTCTTCTGACCCTGGTCAATCGATGTGGTTCGCTTGGAAAACATCGCACCACATGATGGGGATTGTCAAGAAAGAACATGTCGTGAATGCTTCTCATTTTGATCTGGACACTCAGCTGATCAACTGCAGTTCTCCTCTTGCTCCACACAATGAGCTCATAAACCGTTGATAGGGGGGCACTCTCCTCCCAGCAGTTTTGCGCGGACATACCTTCAGCACACAAAACATTCCTGCTCCATTCCGCTTGTGCACGGGCAGTCCCGTTCTTGTCTGGCTGGTAGACGCCCATGATGGAACAGGGGGACAACAAGCACGGCGTGTCCTCGGGACAGCATCCTCACTGGTGGCTACTTGCAACAGCATGACAGGGCGCTGGATCTTGAAATTGCATGGGCTGGGGCTGACAGAATGCCGTGTGCAGGCTTGGAATTTACAAACGAGGAACACTGAGGCACATATTCATCTTTTCTCTTGTCGGCCGTTCTTAACCTTTGGCGTCAGCCAGCAAAGCTTCTATGGACGTGGATCCGAGCTGTTGTGTTAGCAAGACGCTCCCAACGCCTATGCGCAGGTGCATTCTCACACACACACACACAAACGAGTGTCCACATGCCCACTGTCTACCTACATCGTCGCCAGTGAGGACAAAGCGCCTATTTGGCAAGAATCCCTTGTCTCATTGGCCTCTAAGCGCACAAAGAAAGGATAGCGGTCCTTGTCGAAGAGCGCGACAGCCAACTTATAGCAGGCATAGAAGTCGCCCGTCCCCACCATCCTGAAACTTCGCTGGGCGGCAATGGTCGGATTCATGCGCGTGAAAAAACCCAAAAAAAAACCCAAAAAAAAAACATCCCAAGAGCGGCGTGGCTGAAATCGAATTGAAATGCAAAGCTGAAATGCAGGTAACAACAAGAACAAGAGATTCGGGCTTGGTAAAACAAGGTCTCCATTGCCAGGGGTTGCCATGTGGCCTGCTTTGCTATCTATGTCAACTCTAAATGTTTGTTTGTGGGAATGGTTTACACATCGTGACGCATTCCGATGGTTGAGTGGCTTTGCCAGCATGTTGCACAAAAGGCGCTGGACAAATTGGCTATTGGCTGTTTGCCACAGGTGCATTTCCGTGACAAATCTAGTATCTGAGCCGTCTGCTTCAGCGTTCCGCCAGTGCGCTCTGGCTTGGTATTCGAGATGCTCACCTCGGTGTTTGCTTTCAACGTGACAAGGAAAAATGACATGTGAAAATGAACACCGGCAGGCAACGCCAGCAACCTCACACATCCTTTGCCTCCATCCTCTTTTACAAGGTGTGGACACTCTGATCAGTCAACCCATTTTGCTTGGTAATTAATCGCTGGGCTGAAGCAAGGGCTCAATCCAACGTTCTGGCACCTGGGAGAAACTAACTGGCACAAATGCGGGGAGAGCGCCGGGATTTGGGGCCCTGAACCCACATTTTCCGGATCTTCTGCACCTCCCCAAAACTTGCGGCGTGCGCCGTTCGGAACGTTCGAAGGTGCTGGTTTTGGGAGTTCCCCACTCTGCGCTCGCCAGGGCGCGCCGAACTCGCCGATGCGAACCTCGGGCAATGCGCAAAAGGACCACCAAGGCCAGAAAAACCGACCGCGCCTTCCAGGTCAGGTTCGTTGGCAGGCAGGGATGCTTCACTTCCTGCAGGGCGCCAAGATTCCTTTAAGGCAAACCAGGGGGGGCTGATGATGCTCAAAGCGAGCCCTCCGAGTTTACGTCTACCTTGGGGTAGGCAAAACAAGGAGTGGGTGCCCAGAAAGGGAAAAGGGAAACCACGCATGGCTGCGCATCCTCCTGCGCCAGTCCATACAAAAAAAGGACGGCTGGCTCATTGCTTGCCTCAATCGAGGGAACTTGTTCCAACGCCCAGCTGTGACCAAGCTGCCGAGTCCAAAGAGTGTGCATCGTCAAGCTTCTTGGGGCAGTGGACCCCTGCCCATAGCAGGCTTCACAGTTTTCCTTCAAACTAGACCAAACCGGAGGTGTTTGACTGCACGCATGGCTGTGGGTCAAAACCAATGGTACCATTTTGGGATACCCCTTTGACCCCTTTAGTCTATTTTAGTGGGGATTGGGATGTTCGCTGGGGATAGGGGCTTTTGACCCATGGCCACATCTCCGCGCAATGAGAACTTAAAACAAATGAGACCCCAAATTGGCAGTTTCCTGCTGGTCTTCCTGTGACAACAGCCCCCGGAAGCCTTCAAAACGGCAGCACACCATTGCAAAGACTCCCACTTGCCTGAGGATCGCTGTGCTTCAGACCCGCCCTGCGCTGTGGCGAACGGCGGGCCAGGTAGCGTCGACCATCAATACCCTCTTTCCAATCATGGAGGTGGAGAGGTCACTTTCATGATTGTTGGAAATAAGCTAGATTGTCACCCATGAATTCCCCCTGAGCCTCACGGAGAATCTGTCTATCAGTAGACTCTGCTGGACGATCTTAATTGGCTCCTCAACTTGGAGAATACCGTTGAGCATTTCTCAAACCCGCAGGTGTTGGCCTGCAAGGGCCTCAAATTGCATCCCTGTCCACAACTGACCTTGTTTAGCTTTCATTGAAGCGAGCCGTGTTCTTTACATATCCCCATAACAACTCATCCTTGGGCAACAGGAAACGACCGTCGGTCGACATCGGCGAAATCAGACCCAACAGCAGCTTTCCAGGATCCCGGCATCAGCACGCGCGTAGCTCTCTGGAAGGCGATCACATTGCCAAAGCCGTTGAAGCTGACAGGGCTGTGGCTCAAAAAGTGGTACCAACATGGCACCTTGGTAAATGGAATCAAAGACAAAAACCCGCGTACCCCCAGCTCTTTAATTTTGAGCCATACCCACAGCTGATTCCCCACTGCGCTTTGGAGAGTCTGAGTCATAATGAAAGAAAGCTGGCCAGGAGTCTGCCTAAACTTGCTGGTTCTCAGCAGGGAAAGAGGGAAAGAGGGAATGTCTAGAGATCAAACCATCCCCTATGGTTTTCTTTGAGGGAATCCCCTTCCGGTTCACTCCCAAAGCCTGGAAGGTCATTCCCTATCGCAGGAAGAAACTCATGGCTTTGATTGGCCAAGCTCTGGCAAAGGTGAATCCGCGTCAATGTCTGGCCGAAAACTATGGGGAGTTACCTCCTTCCGTCCCTCCTTCATGTGCAGGTAGTGCGCTCCGTAGGGGTCATTATGGAGGACATGCGGACCCTTTGGTGGACGTCGACTACATGAGGATTTACCATTCCGCCCACTAATATGGAAGTGCACAGACCCCTGTAGAAAGACTACTTTCCTCTTGGAGAGGGGCTTGGCGTGCTTCCATGTTCAAACATCTGACCTTTAGTCTCTTTGGGGGATAGATCTATGTGCGTGCACCACAGCACACCATGCCAAGTTTGCACCCAGCCTCTTTGAGTAGAGATGAATAGGGCCTCGAATGCTTCCGCCAAAGTGCATGGGAAAGAGGTTGGCCAGGATGGACGTCTCCTGCGGCACCTCATCTGATTCCAAGCTTTGTGAGCTCTGAAGATGGCCTTCTACTGCGCTGAGCAAAATGATGCAATGCTCTTCCGTGAGTACCCATCCCATGGCCAAGTTAAATGGCTGCCAAAGGTTTCTGCATAGAGGGCCCTGTTATTGAGCCGCCAAGGCCGGGCCAAGGCCGGGAAGAAGAATGCTTTTTCAATACGCGGTATATACACAATTGTTGTTTAGGCATGTTTCAACCACCACCGCTTAGACATCCTTTGGTTTCCTTCAAGGGGGCCAGGTGTAAGTTCAAACAAAAAATGCTCGACCCTTTCCCTTGTCACATGCTGAGGAGTAGGCGAATGCAATCTGCGCAGAGGCCCCACCAAAGTCCAGCGCCCCCAAAGTCGTGTCTGGATCTGGGCTGATCCCTGCCTGAAGGGACAAACTCCAAAGAAGCGAGTCAGACCAATTGGACGATCTGATAGTCTGAAGCTGAACATTTTGAACCCTTCCTGTCTCTTTTCATCCACACAACCACAGCCGCTCACCATCCCAGGGCTTCCAACGACATCCCGTTGGTCGGAGCGCGATGCCTGCAACTGGTTGAGCGCCAGCCACCCGAAGGCTCCCTCTTCCTCGCCCGATAGCACCCGCACCTGGCGGTTCGCTCCCATTAAACCCACACGTGAACGTCTAACCAGGTTTGGAAAGAGAGGGGATTGAAAGCTGAACAGAGTCATCATTGAAAACAATGGATTCACCGTCAGGGTGGCTGACGTTTGCGACACTCATTGATAAGCTGTACAAGAATCCCCAACTCCTAAATTCCATGTGTTTTGATACTTGCCCAAATCCCCAATGTGATCACAAGAAAAGACACGACTTCCAAAAACAGCTCTCCCCACTGGCGTGGCAACAACAAACACCGACTTCAACATTTGCCTAAATTTGTTTGTCAAGACCTGTGTCATGTCTACAACTAGAGCTGTTTGTGTTTTTTTGTATGGCATGTCATTTTCCGCGAAAGCCAGTCAAGGATCTCAAGTCTTGGCCAAGGATGCATTGAAGCAAGCGCCTGCTCGTCGCGAGTCACTGGGAAGATTCGCTGCTTCCGCAAATATCCTCTTGCAGCCCTCATCACCTGTCAGTTCGCCGGAAAAGTTGGATACATGGCATTTGGATTGGATGATTCGATAGAGGAATGAGCACAACGGAAACAGTCCTGCCCCAGTGTATCTAGATTTGCGAGAACAGCACGGTTCATGACAAGTTTCGGTACGGAAAACCTTACACCACGCCTACCGTCACTTCCGAAACAGGGCTCAAGGCTGCCGCACACGCAACAATCTACCGACAACAGCATCCCAATTACTGTTGTGGGTGTTTTGCAAACTTCCATGGACTGTGACATGTGACCAAATCTGCTAGGCACTTCCACTTTCGAAACTCATGCTTTGCCTGTGGGGGTCCGTATAGGCCCTTTGCTTGCTTGACAGCGAAATTACGCTTTGGAGCCACTCGTCTCGTCTCTGGAGCTCACCTGAGCTCCCTGCCGCGTCCCGGTCTTCCGAGGAGATCTCCCGCAGCCCAGCGGTGGCGCCCAGGTAAAGGGGCACCTGACGCTTGACGCGGCGAAAAAAACGGCGGCTGGCTCCCTTTGGGATCGGAAAAAGAACTCAAAAAGAACCGAAAAAGAACTAAAAAGGGTTGGGGATTGTTGGGGACCCATCCTTCTTCTCAGTGGACTTCCTGAATTTGGGGGATGATTCTTGGGGGGAATAGTGGGTTTATGATTCTCACAGTCACCACGTGGTTGAAGGGAAACAAGGAATGCTGATTTTAAGATACAGTAACTGCCGGAAACAAGTATCAGAATGACCCCAGCGCCACGGGAGACGCTCGAGATCTATCATGGTTCATGCTTGATGTACTTGCCTGCCATATGTGGGGAATCAACAGTAGCACTACCAGGACAAGCATTGACATGTCCTGGCAGTGCGTTGGGGATCCTAATAAGGTACCTCGTACCTGGCCCTCATTGCTTGGCTTAGACGTCAAATATCGCTTTCAACACGTGGAGGTGTTTTTTCTCTTGAAGTTGGTACTCCTTTACGTGTTGTATTGAAGGGCCCCCAAAGTGAAAGCCGCCAATTTGGGCTTAAGGATACACACAAGTGCTAATTGAATGTTGCTTCAGCCACTTTGCCCGAAAATGGCATTCCGCTCTCACGTGGAATTGGTCATTGGAGTCATGCTCACGAGTCCTGCTTGTTTCCTCTATGGGGAAAGGAGACTATGCACTGTGCTTGAGTCTGCTGTTCCTTTTGCTGACAGGGCTTGGTGCATTTTGTGGGTCACCCTTCAAACGGTTGCTGTGACTCCGCTCAAATCTTCTCATCCCCAGGAAAAGAGCTGGACCGCACCAGCTTCAGGTCCACGTGGGGATTGTGCAAGAGCAAGGCCTGAGAGGAACCATCCGACTGCAAGGGACTCTGTGCATTGGCGCTTGACCATGTAAAAAGAAGTCCCTATCTTGGACAATTCCGGGAGTGTTGAGATCGCAAGGAAGGTTGTTTGAGTCAGGATAGCCCAGAAAAAGTGCACGAGGGCTGGCCCTGCAGGCTCCCTGCAGTCAAGGAACGTCTGCTGCATGCTTCAGCAACTCTTCCAAGTGCCTGCAGCCAGCTGACGACTGCTAAATCTGGCAAGACATGGTTCATGCTGCAGGTTTCCACATCGCAATCTGCTGAGTAGCATCGGCACGACAAGGTGACCAAGTCAAATCAGTATTGAGGGACGTATGACTCCTCTTCAAACAAAGCACATGTCCTGCTATATTAAAGAATACAACCGTGCTTCCACAGCTTCACAGCAGCTGAGCCACCAGCAATCGCACGGATCGTTTTGTGGAAAATCAGTCTGAAGTGGTTGCCACGCAACCACTAGTTTAGTTTAGCAATTACTTCAGGAAAGTTCCGTGGGAAACCCCCAAACCAGAAACGCGAGAGCCGTCCAACCCGTCGGCTGCCCTTCGCCCTTCGGCCTGGGGATGCTGTCGAGGTGGTGCAAGAAGGAGGACAACCCCGGGCGGCTGCTGGCCACCGCGATTTCTGCAGAGCGTCATAATATGACCAAACCCAGTCACCAAACGGTTTCTTGGTGCCAGAGATGCAGGGAATGAGAAATGAAATGGAATGAAAAAGAACAAACAATCCCACTGGTGGCTTCCTTTGAGGGGACCAAAGCCTGGGTTTGCCACATCTACCTATCGCACCAGCCAGCTGTTGCTGTCCATCAAAATTCACAGCCCGAAAATCCGGCACCATGGCAGTCACCCAGTCACCCGCACCTGACGGCAACGTCAGCGGAGGGCTCACAATCAGTGGGAACCTGCGTGTCTCCAGGGTGCGGTACTCGTAATTGAAGACCTGAAGCTACGGACATCGCTCTTGGGTCCAAGAAACTTGTGATGTACTTTGAGCCCGGTTTGGCTTCTTCATATGTGTCCTTAGGTACTTGGACCCGGGCAACTGGTGGACTAATACTGGGGGGATTTGAACCCGGTTCGGCTTGAAACCAAACAGGAAGCTAGCCCTAACCTACAAACCAATGCACATCACCAACTGGGGGGAGCTAAACTAGGGCTGCTCGGTTTCTTTGGAGAGCGGCCGCAATGGCACCACACTATACATAATCGTACCGTGCATAATCTGCTTCACACTGGATAGTCAGCGACTTCCTGCGCGGGCTAAGCGCGCAACATGGATTCGCGACCCAGTGCTGCCAGCATCGATCACCACCACGTAGCCAGACCTGGGGTCTGGGACTTCGCCCACTGAGAAGTGGCGAGTTCGCCCATCGATCCCGGTGCAACTCCAGGGTGCAACTCCAGGGGCTTATGCTACAAAAAACCTGGGAACTGATCTGGGCGAATCATAGCAACATAGCAATTCCAGGATGTCTCGGAATTTTGTGCTTGGAGTGCTTCCGCCGCGCGGCGGAAAAGGCGATGGCTACAAACACTGAGACACTAGTGTTGACCCCATATTAAACAACCCCAGTTTGTTAATAGCGGGGAAACATCACTTTCCGAGGGAAACACCCCCCTGTTAATCAGCTGGGGTTGAGTGGTATGGGGTCAACACTATGTCAATCGCTGTTGCACTCTCACATCCAACACACGCCATGTCTTTTCGCACATCCATCAGGGGTTGTTGCATAGCGCAACGGCGACCTCAGATCTGTACAACGCCTGAAGCTAGCTGCGAAGCTTCCATGATCTGTATACGTCCGCAGGTGAATTCATGGCCTGGAAACGGAGACGGGAGCACGGCTCCCGGCTCGGAAGAAGAATCCGCACTCCGGCGTTTTGGGACACCCCCTGTGGGAAGGCTCAAAGCTTGTCCAGGTAGTCACCCAGAACTGGCATCTGGACCTTCAAATCCTTGCGCTTGCGGATGCTTAGGACCAGCTCCTCCATCTTGCTGCCCTTCTCCAGGCAGTTGCCAGGCAGACTCTCCCAGTGGTCGAAGACGCACTGGGGGAAGGCCTGGCCGCTGGTAGCTTGCCGCAAAGAGGCCACGAAGCCAAAGGACTCCGCCACCGGCAGATGCGCCTTGACCTGAACCATCGGCGTGCCCTCGCGCTGGTTCTCCTCGAAGACGCATCCTCTGCGCAGGTTCAGGCAGCTGTAGACTCCGCTCAGGGCATCTTTGGGGCATGAGATCTCCACCAAGAAGACCGGCTCCTGCAGGGTCGGCTTGGCTGTGAGCTCGGAGGCAAAGCAGCAGCGCCGCAAGGCCGGCGAGATCTGACCGGCGCCCCGGTGCACCTTGTCCGGATGCAGCATCACCTCTGTGAGGTTAAAGCGCACGGACCGCAGGTTCTCCTCGCACAAGACGCCCTCCTTGCTGGTCCACTGGAAGGCGCTCGTCACCGAGTCCCGGATGTCGTTCAGGTACTGGGCTCCCACGGTGCAGTCCACCACCATGTTGGGCCCGTCCCCTTCGGGCCCATAGCACCAGATCTTGCTTTGGGCCTGCTGCTTGTCCCAGCCGAACTTCTCGGTCAGAATCTTGGCGCCGGCTTTTGGGTCCACCTTGGGGCCCAAAGTGCCATCTTCCAAAGCCTGCGCCAGCTCTTCCTGCAGCGGCTCTGCTGTGAAGTACAACCTGTTGTGCTTGTTCGCCGACTTGGCCAAGCAGGTCTGGCTGGACTGCTGCGTCACCGTCTCACGGTAAGACACCACCGGGTCGGACACGGTGAAGTCGCACTGTGCGAATTCCTCCCTCAGGTCCTTCAGACAGATCTCCACATGCAACTCGCCGCAGCCGGCGATGACGTGCTCGCCGCTCTCCTCAGTGCTGCAGACCACCAACTGGTCAGACTTCGAGAGCTTCTTCAGACCCTCCACCAGCTTGGGCAAGTCCTTGCCGTCCTTCGGCTTCACTGCCACCTTCACCACTGGCGAGACGCTGTACTTCATGTCCGTGAAGTTGTGGGCATCCTCCAAGGTGGTGATGGTGCCGGACTTGAGTATGTACTGGTCCACGCCCACCAATGCCACTGTGTTACCGCAAGGCACGTCCTGGATGGGTTCCGTCCCACGGCCCATCATCAGCACGGTGCGTTGGATGGCCTTCACGTGGAGGTCATCCTTGGTGCCAGGCCGGTAGTGGGGGCCCTGGATGCGCACCCTCTGCCCGGTGCTGACCGTCCCTGAAAAGACTCGGCCGAAGGCGTAGAAGCGGCTCCTGTCCGGGGCTGGCACCATCTTGGAGATGTACATCATCAGAGGCCCTGCAGGGTCGCAGGAGCGAATGGCCAAGGCCGCCTGGTCGTCCATGGGCCCGTCGTACAAGTTCTCCACTCGGTAGCGCTGTGCCACCTTGGGCGAAGGCAGCTTGGTGACCACCATGGAGAGCAGTGACTCCCCGCAGCTGAGCCAGTTCTGCATGACGTGCTTCATGAGCGCCTTCCCTGTGAGCTCCCGGTCCTCGCCCTTCAAGACGATGCCAAGGCGATCCATCATCTTCTCATACTTCGAATCCTTCTCCATGATGGCCTGGATCAACTGGCAAATGGGCGTCATGATGTACTGGCAGAAGCCCCGTTGCAACGGCTCCGCACAATCCTCTGGCTGCTGCTGGTTGGTCCAAACCTTGCGCTTGGCATGGAAGAACCAGTCACCCCAGAGCTTGTCCATCATCCGCGCCTTCTCTACACCCGCCTTGGCTGCCAAAAGCCCCGCGAAGTGCTCCAAGGTGAAGCCCCAGCCATGCAAACCGCTGCCGAATGCCACGTTCCCGGCCTCCGGGCGCACCTGCAAGTCGCCCATGGAGGCGTCGTTGTAGGTGGCAATGATGACGTTCACATTCTCTACAGCATTCCGGAAGCGCAGGTACATGTCCTCCGGTTCCATCTGCATCTCCAAGATGCAGCGATCAACCTTGTTCACAAAGAGGCAAGGCTTGACCCTCTCCTGCAAGGCTTGCCTTAGCACTGTCTCGGTCTGCACCGCACAGCCCTCGATGCAGTCCACCACCACTACAGCGCCGTCGGTGATGCGCAAGGCAGCAGTGACCTCGGAGGAGAAGTCCACGTGGCCCGGGGAGTCGATGAGGTTCACCAGGTATGGCACAGCTCCGTCGCCCGCATCATAGTCGAAAGGCAGGGTGACCCCCGTGCTCTTGATGGTCACGCCACGCTCCTCCTCATCCTTGCGGCCGTGTGTGAATCGCCTCTCGCCGGCTGCCTTGGCACTGATGATGCCGGCCCGGGAGACCAGGGAGTCCGCCAGCGTGGTCTTGCCGTGGTCCACGTGGGCGATGATGCTCAGAGACCGGATCCTCTCCGTGTTGTCCATGACGCCTCTCACCTGCTCAACGGTGAAGGGCGGCATGGCCAGAGAGACAGCGGGTTCGCCGTGGGTCTGCGGGGCTTTGATCCTCTGAATCAATCCGAGCTTGGCTTCCGACTTTATGAAGTGACGCTTGCTGAATACATTTCAAGCTGCCACCAACCAATTCGAACGTGGAACTCTGCAGGCAAAGACATAAGAAGAACTGTACCCCTGCCAAGATAGTATCTGCCGCCACACTGCTAGATAACGCACAAATGTCAAACGCGAGCTTCCTCAGAACTATTCAGCAGTCACTGACTTTGCGTTCTCCCCAATTCTCGCACCAGGCAGGCTCCTGCAGCCTTTCAAAGATGTGAAAGGGCGCCACCAGCTTCACAGTCCTGACTGCATCACTGTTCCTGGGGAGCCCGACGTATCCGCGCAAAGCTGCGGGTACTTCTTGCAGTTTGGTTCCTTGCAATGTGAGATCCACAAGCAAAGCTCGCAAAGGAGGAGGGGTTCTGACTGCTTGGGGCGTGAAAATGGGCATAGGTCCGAATGAAAGGACCAATAGATTCAACGAACTGGCCTGTGCGCATAAAAGCATCAACAGTGACAAAGAGAGATGTAGGACACATCCAAGGCTATCCAAGCATGTCTTGTTTGCGCTTGATCAACTCCATCCTCTCGAATCCTCCAAAGCCCCTCTTCAACCAGTATGTGGTTCTTCATTATCATGATCACGATATTAACCAGCCCATGCCCCGTGCAATGATCACACCAAAAGCAGCAACACCGGGCAATGTTGAGGATCCCCCAAAAGTACGAGACAAGCAACCACAAACTGATAGATGAAAGGAACATCCATCCTCGCTGCTAGCAGCATGTGGGACCTTTGGCGAACATTATTTACTTGGGAATTTACACAAGCTTCAACTGATTTCCGGGCGCTCCAACCATCCAGAATTTCGATGTATATAAATAAAGAGAGTATCGCATTCACTGGGTGTGTGTCTTTGGATTTTGTACCCATTTTGGGTCTGCCACCCATTTTGTCCTTGCGAAGGCAAGACCAACCCAACCATCCGAGACCACTGGGTTTGCCGGAAAATAGATGGATTCCCACCACAATCCGACCGGCTGTGTCAAAATCCAAACTCGGCACCCATTTTTATGCTGGGGACCTCTCGCTCAACCTTCTACCCGGGTTCTGTTTGCACGTGGATTCACTTTGCCTCTCCAGACGGTATTTGGCCATGGGTCAAAACTCAAATCGTACCCTCAGTGAACATCCCAATCCAACCACTAAAATTGTTCTAAAATGGGTGGTGAATTCACCTACCAACCAAAATGGGATACCATTGGTTTTGACCCAAAGGCATATTTATTTCTTCTGTTGCAGTAGCCAGCTCCAAAGAAAGTGCATTGGAATGACACCATCGAGATGCCCGTTCATTTCCCTCGCTCTCCCATGCCGTGGCTCGAAGCTGCCCAGCGCCGCGGCCAAGAGCAAAGATCCTGTCTCCGGGTGGGCAGTTCGCGCTTTCGGCTCGGTACCCTTGGGGCATTGAAAGACCCAAAGACAGCGGGGCGTTTTCGCAGCTTGGTGCTGTTTTGTCAACTGCCTTTGAGGTCACCGTCGGTGCTCAGGTTCTAGTTGGGTGTTCCTTGTGGCTACAATTGGGTTGTAAGGGAGACCGCAAGAGAGAACCGCTGCTGCTTGGAGTGGTTGGTGGCATGGGTGTGTTGTTCCCTCTTGAGGCTACCCTTGGTGGCTGAACAGGGCAACCTTTCAATAAACCGTCGCCATTTGGAGTGCTCCCCACATTTCAAGACACACCCACATCTAGTTCTGATGTCAAGATGCCCCAAAACGTGTCCCTGTGCCACGGGCATTGTGCTCATGTGGATCATCATGGCGCCCTAATAAGAACCCTTACGATGGTGGTCAATGCCTACTCAGGGGCTGATGACCACTGCTGCTAACTCCAAGGGGTGCTTTGATCATGGCACATGTCAGGAAGAAGCTCAGTACCATAAACGTACGGCCAGGCAACTTGCTGACTTTGAGTTTGCTGTCCACACGCCGATTCTGTCTTCGCAGCCTTCACCGACATGAGAATTCCTGCTTGCCCATCAAAAGGCAAAGAAATGGTTGCACACGGCAAAATCACATCAGATTGTAGCGCCTGTCCTTTTAATTCCTTTGGGTGGGCGCGCCATACGAAGCATGTTAAGTAGCCGAAACCCCCACAACACAATACGCAATCATGCACAAGAGGAGTGGGTGGAGCATTTTCTCTGGTGGGCATCCCAGCACTCATGCTTCTGAGCTCTGCCCCGGTCCTTTGAGAAGCAGCATGAGTTAATTCCTCAAGAATAGGGCAGTCGAAGCCAACATCTCAAGGATTGATCATGAACTCTGGTCGTGTGCGAAGTTGCCGTAGTCCTCTGCGAGTTGTATGGTGCTCTCTGAATCCGCCTGACCGGAGGAACGCTTCAATTAACATCCCGGGCATTGGGCATCTCTTCACCCGCGGGACTTCAGTGTTGTGCGTCTTGAGATCTTAATTTGAAGCTTGAGCCAAACGGACAAGGAATCAGCCAGGAAGCAACCTGATCCAACTAGCCACAGCCGCTGGCTTTCCACTGCATCTCTAACCAACAAATCCAGTGACCCCTGCCTTTCGCTTTTTCTCGCATTCCAACTCATGGCTGGTATCTCCATGACAAGAGCGGCAGTCTTTGGCCGATCCGGTGATCGTATGCTGGCTCAGCAACCTGCCAAAGTGGCTGTCCAGCCGAGTCTTATGACGCATGCGCTTGCTTGGAGGCCACAGTGAAAATCCGTTCAACTAAGAAAAGGCGGCTGTGTTTGGAACTCCGCCCAAAAGAGCGAGCTGCCCCACTCCATGATCTTTGTCAGCGTCTTGCTTGGGCATATCAAATAGTTGCATTCGCCCAGCAACTCAGAGCCAAGGGTTCCCATCTATGGGTCAAAATTAAACCGCCAGGGGACCGCAGGTTTAGTCCCTGTTTCCATTTACTAGGGTTCCATTTGGAGTACCTATTGTTGACCCACACCCATCTCATGCTATAGCTTCCTAGAGTACCATGCAGGTCCACATGACTTCCACATTCATGTCTGTTCCCAACCATGGCTTGCCGCCTGTGATTGCGATGGCGTCCGCCAAACCACAGCAGTAAATGGGTTACGTGACCTCAAGATTCTATACCCATGTCAATAGATATGTGTGAATTCTGCCGCGATTCTCTCTTCGGGGTTTGGGTGGGGTCTGTCGTTTGAGCTCCTTTTCTCTCTCAAAAACCCAAGGCAGGGGGTCGAGTGGAACAGCTCCCTACCCAGCCTTCACAGGAGCGGCTCCCGCAGCTGATCCAATCGGCTCCTCGGCCATGCGCGACTGAACTTCAACGAGTTCCCTTGGTGTCGCAAAAGTCTGCCAGCCATCCCGGCGTGCCCAGGGCCCTGTTTGGCCATGGCTCAAAATCGCGTACACCCAGTGAACATGCAAATCCCCCACTAAAATAGACTAAAATGGGTGGTCCCCAAAATGGTACCATTGGTTTTGACCCACAGCCTTCTGACGAAACCCAAGCGTGGGAGCAGGGGGCAGCTTCAAGATTGGCTCGGGCAAATGACCCAAGTCTGGAAAACTCGTCAGGTTCAATGAAGAAAAATCTGCAAGCATCTAGAGTTCGCATCAGGGCACTTGGGACTTACAAGTGGAAGGCCTACGCAATCGTTCTTCATTCCCCTAAAACAATTGAATAATTTATTCCTGTGGCCGCAGGAAGCCATTGGAGAAATACATCGCCGGATTTGTTTTGAGCCCAACTCCTTCCCGAAGATCAATTCCTTCACTAAGATCCATATCGCTTTGTCGAGCTGAACCTTTTTGAGGGCTTGCCAGCAAGGACATCGTTGGTCTCTCACTCGGAACTCAGCAAAGTGCGTGTATGCGTGTTCATGCGCATGCGCTTGAGTGCATCTCACTTGTGGCACCCCTACAAACTGGTGTTTCCTGATTAAGACCATCAACTTCGTTTTAATTTCGAAAAAGAAATGACCATCATAATAACAAGAAACACACACATGTGGGTGATACTAATTCAACAACCTGAACTGAAGGACCCGGCCCAAGAAAAGAACCTTCGTCATGCGTGGACTTCGCAATGTCCATCGCCCGGGAACAAGCCCACCACAACACTGAAGCGTCGTGGTGACCAGGGCTGTGGCTGGTTGAACCTGCGACTGGAATGACTGCGACCATGCAGTGACAGCGTGCAACAGTGCGAGCAATCAACTACACCAAATAACATCTGTTGGGCAAACCATGGCAAACCACAAGGGAACGTTCACCAGCCCGGACTTTTGTTTGGAAACCACCAGGGATTTCAACATGAGAACAAAACCAAGAAACCAATTGGCATCGGGGTGTCGCGGCTCTTCGCTGCATCGGTCAGAGCCCGCAGGGGTGGCAGTTCGAGCCCACTTAAAATGAGCACATATCCTGGAAGCGCAAGGCCCGCCCTATGCCCCCCCCACAAAAAAAACAACTCCAATACTAAGGCATTAGTAAGGGGACCCTGCGCGGGGGTAGGGCTACCATTTCTACCCCGGTGTTCTCGACTTCCATCAGCCGGGAGACCCTGGAGATACATGGCATGCCCTCCACACAGAACAACGCTATTGGTGGCGAAATCGAAGCGAAACATCGGTGCACGCCCGACCACGCGCAATCGCTTGTAGGCAAATGACTGAATGCGAGTCAACAGGGCGAGTTGAAACTCAGAACTCACCCTAAAACTGCGTGAAACTGGGGTCTCACAAGTTTGAAACCCGTTTATATAAGGCGACCTTTGAAAACATCGGGGTGCCACACCAAAAAACCCGCAAAGACCAAACCGTTTTGAACATCCAGCGCCTGCCGGACCGGGATCTGCGACGCACGGGGCTCAAGGCACTGTGCTCCTGGCGAAGCGTCGAGACGGGTGCTGCGCCCATGGAACCGACCAAAAGGTCTGCAGGAAAATTGGATCCCAGCCCCCCAGTAGGGTTTCATTGACTGGAGGGAGGATGCCCTTCTGGGGTGGATGTTGAAGGGAACATTGCCTCATTCATTTCCTGGGGAGGGAGGATGCCAAAAAATGGGGCGAACTGCCAAATGTGGTTTTCGCTCAGTCTTGCGTGCCCCGGAAACTGGCTGGCAGGTGTATCTAAGTTGGTAGGCTGAGGTGGGCAAGTGTGTGGGTGGATGCGCGAGATGGTGGGTGGGAAACTGTGAATGTATAAGGTGCATCTGTGCATGCGCATGCTTGCGTGCATTCCTGTTGACTGGTGCAGGCTGGCGCATGTCGCTGCTAGCTTCTAATTTGTCCAAGTTTGTCTGGATTGCACCTTGGTGCGCATTGTGTGTATGTGTCTGTGCATGTGTTCGTGTATGTGCTTTTCCCTGTGCCTGTGTCTGGGTGGGTGATGGCAAACCTGGCATGGCGAACTTCAAGCTTGATTTAGTTGCCCTGTCACAATCACATACACCCCAGGACTGCGGCCGACAGTGCATGGCTAACCAAAGGCCCTGGAGAAGCTCAAGGGTCTAATCGAGTGAGAGCCTCAAAAGCGCCCGAATGTCTCTCTTCACCGGGATTTTGGCTCAACCCCCCCAAACCAATTGAACACTTGCAACAAAACCAGCCAACACACCAACCGATTTTTGCCCAGAGCCCGAAACCCTGCGACCGCAAAGTCTCTAACCACTCCTCAGGCTCTTCCCGCGGGCTGCTGATCTTCCACATGGCCCACAAGCCTCAGAAACATTAACACAGCAACTTGACTCATGATACGGCCAATCGAAGAAACTGCCAGGAACAAGTCGCGCGCTCTGGACATGGCTGTGTTCTGCGTAAGTATATAGCTGACCATTAAAATATATATACATATGTATGTATATATATATATATATATATATATCTATATATATATATATGTATTTGTGTTGTGTACATGTTGTACATATATATGAGGGTTGTCCAATATTCCTTGCTCCAAAAAATCGCCTGCCGCCTCGCCCTTCCGCGATGCAGGTAAAACCATACGTTCTGATACGTGTCTGAACATAAGTAAGTTTCCTACAAGTAAAAGCAAAGCAAGCCAAGAGGAAGCGCTAGTGCAGAAAGCAAGAAGTAGACTAGGATTGGAGCGAGGATAGGACGAAGAGCAGAACGAGCAAAAGGACGGAGGAGGACAAGCAAACGTAGGAAACGGAGCAGCAGAACACCGGAGAAAGAAAAGGAAGGAGGAACGCGGCAACAAGCGACAACCTACGCTACGTAAAGAACCTGGCCAGCGGGGCTTGAAAATCGCAACTTTCAAGTACGAAAGTAGCGCGTGAAGTCCACTTTCGAAAATCGCAACTTTTCAGTACGAAAGTAGAACGCGAAGTCAACTTTCGCAGCTGGGTCTCCAAAATCGCAATTTTTAACCAGGCCCCCCCGATGGCCGGTAATTGGCGTCCCGGGTGAAGTGCCGGCAATTGGCCAGCACTTGCTTAAAAATGGTTTTGTAGTCACATATTTTTTTTGCCATCATCAAAGTGCAGTGAAAAGTCACTTTTGTTGAAACGTCACTTCAGGATACTAGATGGGATCCAATTGAGGGGTTGGGCTGGCATGTATGATCATTGCACGTGCAACGCGCGTGGGGGGAGGGGGGGCGACACGCTGGTGACACGCTCATATCCCAAAAAAGTGACCGTTCAACGTGCATGTGCCGGCAATTGGCCACCCCCCGACACGCCGTGACACGCCGTGACACGCCGTGACACGCCGTGACACGCTCCTCAAGAACCCCTCCCAACCTCAAACTTGCCCTCCAAACCTAAAATTTGCTGCTCTCCCCTTTCCCCTGCAACCCCATTCCAAAGGACCCTGAAAGGTCACTTGTATCATTGCACAAATTGCACTAAGTACAGACGAGTGATACTTGATAGCAAATTGCTTTTGCAGTCACTTAGACAAAAAGTGACATCGTTTTGCCCAAGATCGATGTGCCGGCAATTGGCCAGCCATTGGGGGGTGCTGGAAGTGAAGAAGTAGTATACGTGAAGCCCACTTCCGCAGCTGGGGCTGGAAAAAAAACTTGTAAGTACGAAAGTAGTACGTGAAGTCCACTTTAGCTGGGGCTCAAAAATCACAACTTTTAAGTACGAAAGTAGTACGCGAAGTCAACTTTCGGGGATTGAAAATCGCAACTGTTAAGTGCAGATATAGATGGAGAGATAGATAGATCGATAGATAGATAGATAGAAAGAGACAGAGAAAGAGATAGAGAGATACACAGATAGAAAGAAAGAGAGATAGAGAGATAGATAGATAGATAGATAGATAGATAGAAAGAGAGATAGAGAGATTGATAGAGAGATTGATAGAGAGATACACAGATAGATAGATAGATAGATAGATAGATAGATAGATAGATAGATAGAGAGAGAGAGCGAGATAGATACATAGATAGAAAGAGAGATAGAGAGATAGATAAAAAGATAGGTAGATGGATAGAGAAATACATAGATAGATAGATAGATCGATAGGTAGATAGATAGATAGATAGAGAGGTAGATAGATAGATGGATAGATAGGTACAGAGAGAGATGGAGAGGTAGATAGAGAGATAGAAAGAAATGTAGATAGAAATATAGATAGATAGATAGATAGATAGATAGATGGATAGATAGATAGATAGAGAGATGGATAAATACACAAGATAGACAGATAGGTAGAGAAGATAGATAGAGAGATAGAGAGATAGATAAGCAGATAGATAGATAACACGAGAGATAGATAGATAGGTAGTTAGGTAGATAGATGGGACAAGCAAACAAAAGAAAGAAAGAAAAGACAGATAGAAAGAAGGAAAGAAGGGAGGAAGGAAAGAAAGGAAGGAAGAATGACGGAGAAAACAGAAACAATGAAAAGGAAGAAGAAGAGAAAAGGAGTCAAGAAAAGAAAGAGAAAGAGAACTATAGTTTATATATTTTTGAAACTTCCGCCCACCGGCTTCGCAGGCTCTACTGGTATAACATTACATCGAGATGACCAACCTCGACGGTGTTCCAGCCATGAAACTAATCAACGCCACCGTGCCGGCATCAACTCCACTTTCTGACGCGGCCGATCAGGAGTCATTAATCAAGTTCCCCACCAAACATTGCACCATGTGAGGGGGTGACGACTCTTTGAACGGCCACGTTTGCTCCCTCCCAAATAGAAACTATACAAACCAGTGGAGATGTTTGTGCTCGATCAATCCAAGAGGCTTTGCCCATTCCCACCCACCCCCTGGCAAAGTGATTGGAGCATATTATGGCACTGACCTGTCCGCTGTAGGGGTATACACCCCGTTCGCCCTTGGGGTTAGCCGGGTTTGAGGGGAGTGGAACCCCTCAATCCAAAGCAGGGCGCCTCCTGGAGGATTTCCGAGATCCAGGCTGACGCCGGAGGACAAAGAGACTCCCAGCAACACCGTCCTGGCGGCATGCGACATGCGATGGTCCAAGTAGCCCAAGCAATACAAGAGCAGGTTGTGTGAGAGTCTGCCGCGCTCCCAAAAAAGACACCACAGGGTTGGCATGATAGCGCCGTTAAAACGGTGCATGTGACACCCAACAAGAACAGTCCAACTGTGTCGGCCATTGATCATTGGTCCAAGGCAAAACTGTCAACGTGCTCGCATCACTTGCACAAACATTTGCTGCAACACTCCTAGACTTCCTTCCCAAGGGAGGCCAACTTCACATGGAGAGAACTCTGTGCACAGCCAAAGCGGTCCCACAGTAAGTCTGCCACAGCACCTTGGTTGAGAAGCACTAAAGGGAAGGACGCGGAACTCTGCCCAGTTGGTGAACAAAGATCCGCACCAATCAAGCAAGTCGAAGATTACTACACCCATCTGTCAATGGATGTCAATGGCCGTGCCGGTGACTCCTCAAACCCATTGGCTACGACCACATGGTGCATGGGAGACAAGGGACATGGATCCGACTGGCGCTTCCTGAGCTGCCGACGGGCATGCTGGGAAAGTGGTGCACCAGAATCAAGCTCAGCAGCACCGAGCATTCGAATACCTTCCAAAAGAAACAAGAAGCGGATCTTCTCTTAAAGGCATAAGGATGAAATGAACGCAGGCAGGAACCTCAACAATTATTCATTGTTAGGAGGCAGTAGCAGCAAATGATTCGTGCTACGTCGTGAGGCTTATCACCACACTCGCTGCTATGCTCAGACATAATTCTGGTACCGTGTTCATGGCCATTGTTTTGACTGCCCCGTCTCCCCTTGTCCACCGCCTTCTCCTCATGTGATACAAGCCCAACGTGATCCCAACATGGTGCCCTTTGTTTTAGCATCGAAGCCAGTCAGAAAGGCCCGGATTTGGGGCATTCCCCCGCGCCAATTGCGCACCGCACAAAGCATGCCCGAGAAGAGCAGGATGTGCGCCAAGGGGTAGAGCCGTTGAAAGTAGCTGACCTCGAGTCAGAGACACGGGGTCCCGAAGCGTCCCTTTCAACGATCGAAGGAAACTCACCTCACATGGGCCCAAAAAGGTGATGTCTAAAACCACAAAGAAAGGAACTTTGGGCCCCTGCACAAAGCGAGACCTGGTCACAACTCTGAAAATGCTGCTCTAGTGCTCCCCAGCCCTGAAGGTTTCAGGCGGTGAAGTGTTTCTTGTTTGTCTTGTCTTGCCTAGCCCTGGCATTCGCCCAGCCCTGGCACCCCGGGTCCCTGGGTCCCTCCCACTGAAACTCGGCTTGGCCTGGCGCATGAGGCCCTGAGCCAGACCGTGCACCGCCCTGCGCGAAACCGCGAACGGGGGCACTGACGCCACAGGGGTTGATCAAAAGGTCCTGCACATGATGGGCGAAATCCAGTTCGCACAACTCAGAAACCATGGGGCAAATAATTGTATGTTGGTATTTACAGAGGAATCATTGTTCCAGGGCTTCTCAGGTGGTGAGCCACTGTTTTCTCGTCCAACACCTGGCTTTCGTGGAACGCAGCGCCTTCATGTCTATCATCAACCCTGCCGGTGGCCAGGCTCTTTGACGCACGCCAAAGACTCAGAAGCACGAGGATCCCAGCAGCCAACCCGATGGCGTCGACCTTCTCACTCTGTGCTTCGACCTTGGAGCTCTGTGCTTCGACATCTTCGACCTTTGTGCTCAAACTGTCGACCTTCGCGTTGAGCTTCTCAGTCTGTGCATCGAGCCTGCTTGATATCGGCTCGGAACCTTCGCGCTGTCGTTGGAGCCGTTGTACACGGCCATGAAGGCGAACACGACCAAGGCGGTGAAAATGCTGGTGATGAACGTCTCAGGCACCGAGCGGATCCAGTTGCTCGCACCTGCTTCTGGATGCCGCACCTAGCAGGCGCTGAGAACGTCTTTAGGCTCTCTTTCACCTTTACAAGATCTTGGCAAACAAATCTGCCTTCTCCTGGATGTCTTCTTCGGTAGCCCGAAGTGCAACTCGCCCTCGTTGCGGGCTGCTGACTGGCACCACAAATGTCATTGCAGTGGCACGGAGCATGGCTAGGAGCAGCCTACGAGTTCGAAACATAGCACGCGCTAGCGCAAGCGCGACCCAACCTGTAGCTGCAGACGCTGCGGTCGAAACAGTCATGGCCAGCAGACTGAAACCAAGTGCGCTCATAACACGGCACACTAGCCAGGGAGGTTCACAACAAGCGTGCCAGGCGCACCGGATCAATTCGACCATAAGCAAAGAGGGCGGCAATTGGGAACTGATAGTTGCAGTCTGAAGATTCGTGAGTGTAAGGGTGCCCTTTGAGAATATTGATATGGATCAGGTTTTTGACTGACGGCAAGTGGACTGTGGAAGACTGTTGGGAGGTGCTTTGTGTATTGTCGGTTCGAAGGGTTGAATTCTTAGGTGGTTTGAGAAATGGGGTGAAAGTGTAGGGGGGAGTATAGGATGTGAGGTGTGGGGTCAGGGCGGTGCTTCGGATTTTGTTTTGTGCTTTGGGGTTTTGGTGTTGTGTTGGGAAGTGCTTTGTGTTTTGGATTGTATTTGGGATTGCGGCGTGGGATTTGTCTAGGTGCTTTGGTTTTTGGATTGTGTTATGGATAATTGTATTGGTTTTGGTATGTTGCTTTGTTTCGGGATTGTTGTAGGGGGGAGTGCAGGATGTGAGGTGTGGGGTTAGCCATTGCTTGCTTTAAGCGGCAGTTCTCAAGGCGCCTTGCCAGCGTGCGTCACTACCCTACCCTGTCACCTGTGATTAGGTCAGGACTTCGTTCATCCACAGGGTGACAATTCAGGAAGCCACCAAGAGATGGCGTTCACCACATGGAAAATGTTGCCCATGGTCGTTTTGGGGCCAGGAAATAAACTCGCAGGAATTGGACCGCAGGATGTCCATGCTTCCACTTGCCAGGGCTCCATTTCGTGTCTTCAAATGATGGGGGGGGCCTGGAAAACGGTGAGACATGGTGAGCTTCTTTTCGGCTTAGATAACTTAAACACCAAGCAGTGCAAAGTCTTGAGACGCCTCCCAAATGGTGTTGACCCAGGATTGTGATCTGAATCCCTAAAGACAGGACGTTCTAACCTCTGGATTATAATTAAGCAGGGCTTTGTGAACTCGGCTCTGCATCTGTTCTCACACCGGATCAAGTTTGATCCTAGCTGGGAAGCTCTGGACACTCTGTCAACCGTAACGCAAGTGAGCGCCACAAAAACCTTCGCCGTTCGCTGCTAACAAATTGCAAAACCAAGTTGATGATATTATAGCCCTCACTATACCTGCTAGAACAGGGAGTAGAGTCCCTTAAACGCCCAGGGTTTCGAGCACCCGAAGTTATTTTGTCCTCATCCGAGCAGCAGGCACTTTCGAAACCAGAATGAAAGGCCCGCGCATTGAAAGAGTGGAGGACCTTCTTGACGAATACGTGCCGTGGCACTCGCATGGCTTAAGCCGAGGCTTGGCCTTCTGAACCCTTGGGGGCAAAGAGGACCAAGGGACATGGAAACAAACAGACAGAGTCGGCGTTGGGCAACGTCAATCATGATTCCCTGTGTCCCTTGGGCGCTTAGCCTGTGGCCCTCACTTGTCCTTGAACCGCGGCTGCTGCCAGCATGGTAGCTGGCCGGAGAGGTAGTCTGCATCTCGCAAGTCCTCGCGTTGGCTCGAAAACCTTGCTTGCAATGGACAGCAGCAGCAGCAAGAAGAAGAACAAGAACAAGAATAAGAACAACAGCAGCGGCAGCGGCAGCAGCTGCAGCAGTCGCATAAGAGCAAGTTGATTGTCTCAGCGCATTCGGGGGCAATATGCCCCCCCCCTGGTATTGAAACTCTCATGTGAAACCCAAGTTGCGCCTTGCCCAGGTTCACCAGAAGCTTCCATATGGGGATGCGCCCAGGTGCATTCTTCTCATTCTTGACGTCCTCACCTCCTGTTCGCCGCCAGCACAGTAATTAAGGCGTACACATTGGCTAGCGCGTTTATTGAAGAAACCAAAGCAGCCACGGGCGGGTTCTGCTTGCTGTTTGAGCATCAGCATTTAGGAGTGCTCACTGCAAATGAGCTTTGCAAAAAAAATACTGACAAGCACTCAACGCAGTCCCTATTAAACACGGGGGCGGAGTAGTAGCGATGTTAGCAAGTTTTAACATATTGAAACAAGAGCGGCGCTCTGGGGAAATAGAAACCAGCAAGCTGTCTATCTTTGAAATGCTGAGCGCTCAAAAATGGAGTGCGAAGAGAACCCTAGTGAAGGTTGACGCCTATTGCAAGGTAACCCCAACCCCAATCCTCAGAACCCCTTGCCGCCCTAGCCCTAAGCGAAACACATTGCCATCGTTCGACCTCCGGAACGGACAGCGAGGTCTCGTTTCGTCCCAACCTCCGTCCTGCGAAGGGCTGAGCGATGCACACCGCGACCTCCAGCAACGTCTGGTACAGGAAAGGCCCGGTGGTGCCTCGGATCCGCGACGAGCCGCCGCGCCGGAGGCTTCGCTTCGGGATGCGCAGGGCGGAGTCGCGCTCTTTCGCTGCTCTCCAGTTGCGACGGCTGGCAACTGGGATGCACAAAGACGTGAGAGAAACAGCAAAATCCATGCGACGTGGCCGAATAGGATACACAGCGGCTCAGCGAGAGGTTTTGAGTGCCCTGCTCATGATGAACTGGATCGCTACGTCCTGCAAGTCCTTTGCAATGACCTCTGAAGACCTATGGCCACTCCGCTTCGCCTCAGCGTGAGCCGGGACTTGCTGGTGCCTAAAAGGACTTAGAACCAGTCAGGAGCTAAAAATATCTCGAAGATGGTTTCCACTACCCCAAACCACTACCCGTGGGTATATAGTGGCTGTATATACCATTAACGACATGGGGGTAGCCCCAGAATAGCTTGATCTATAGATATCTATGGCGTGTCTTTTGCAGCGCAAGCAAAGCGGTGGTCGGGGGCAACAATGCTAGTCTCCATGTGGCAATCAACTGATGCAATTCACTTGCCCTAAAGTGTCAACGTGGCAACGCTTCATGGGACCGTCTCATCAACAGCAACATCGATTGAAGCGACTTTTCAAGTTTTAAGTGTCACCAGAATTCAGCTCACGGCATGTGCCCATGGAAGTCAGTGGCTGGCGGGTGCACCATGTAAGCCCAATGTAAGCCAATGATTCAGGCAAATGCACATAATATCGTGCCGCGGCTTATCTGGCGTGTCCGACTACTTCCCGAGACGCCCATCGTTTGCTGCTGCTGCTGCTGTTGCTGCTGCTGAATGGCTGCTACTGCTACTGCTGCTGCTACCGCTACTACTAATACTGCCGCCAATAGGAATGGCGCGATTGATGCTGCAAAGTCAACGAACTATTTGTGCTTCCTTGCAATTCGCCGTTCGCTCTCTCTCCTAGCCTAGCACTACGTCACTTCTGCTTGGTCTTCCATTCTTTGGTGGTAGCTGGGCAAAATGATTCAACCTCCACCCGCAGCAACATATCCCTTCTTGAGCCCCGCTAAATGACTGGCCCTCACGGCTTGCGCGTGCCTTGCAGTCCCAAGTTTCGTCTGGACCACCCAACCTGCAAAAACCAAAACCGAGCGGTCGGCACGGTACTCCCATCTCCCGTGACTCAGCTCAGCTCCCAGCCAGGCACAGTGTGACACCCAAGGTCATCCCAAAGCTCACGGCGGTCACGATGTTGTTCACCTTGGCGGACACAAGCGCCAAGCTCAGGAACACGGGCTCCGAGACTTTGCCTTCGCCTCGTTTCTATTATGTTTCATAGATTTCAGCTTCTGGTGAAATGTGAACCAACAGGTCTATGCCCAAGCCAGAGTCCCTAGTTTTGAGACATTGCAGGACACGGAAAGTGGGCGTGAGTCGCAATCAAAACCTGGTATTAAAATGGTCGACCCAGAACCATGTACAGGATTAAGAAGGCGGCCGCAGCTATTTATGGCTGGGATTGGCCCTTACTAACCTTCATCTACCCAGGTTTTGATTGTGGCTCGCGTGGGCTTGCCTGTACTTAGTCAGGCGGAACGTATCCATCTCGTTAGCGACTAGAGCCAGGATAGCTAACATCTGTGGATAATTTGGGACCCTGGAATGACCTCACTTACGTGAATTGGGAAACCGCCAATCGTTGAAAGTATTCCAACCAAAGTCCTAGCCGTCTTTACCTGAAGCTGAGTCTGAAGCATTCACCAGCATGGCCATCATTTGCACGTAGACGTAGGGAGGCTGCACGCAAACAGCACCTTGGACCTGTCAGAATGCAAGGGTTGGGCTATGGTTGGGCTCTCATCGACTTCTTGATCT